TTGTTAGCCTTTAAAGAGGCTCGTCTATCTGATATGAGTATTCCAGCTCGGCTGAACATCCTCTCAGACTCCGTTGAACATGCTGGAATGCAAAAATATTCTAAGGCACAGTCTTTTAATTGTTCCATTTCAGTTGCGTTGTTCTAAAATTAATATAAAATATAAATTAAATTATTATTATTTCCTTAGATTATTCAAATAAAATAAAAAAACCGTAAGACAAACCTTCCAACATTCAAGGGGACTAATCAATCTTTTCCTTCATAAAAGAAAAGAGTGCTGGCTGCTGTTGGGAATCAAGTGTTGGCTCTTTCGGGTCCGGAGTAGAAGTCATATTTTTGCAGTTTCCAGCGATTTCAGTTTGAAGCATCTCAACGGCTAGGTCTGCTGTACTATGGCTGCGGAAACCTTCTTTTTTGACACGTGGATCCAATATCTTTGCAATCTTAGGAACGGTTCTGGTTTCGTAGACAAACAGCCGGCGGTTAATCCCATCCAGCAGATGGTGACAAGCTGCAATACCTTGCGAAGTTTTCATTGAAAGTTCCATGACACTTAGACGATGATGAAGATCGGCAACTATTGGAATAACCAGAGAAATTGTTTCTTTACTGCTTGCTGAAACCCGATTTGTAGCTGAATCAAATGGCTCAAACAATAGCTCTAAGTCTTTTAACACTGCAATCTCATCCGCTGTCAATGGTGTTGGTGCTTTATTTGTGTCAAGAATAACCTGAGATACAGAGTCCCTAATTTTTAAAAGTCTGCTTATCATCTTGAAGCAGATATTCCAACGAGTTGGTACTTCTTGTATCAGTCCGTACGAGTTTTCATTTCCCGGAGCAGATTTTAATTTAGAATAAGCTATTGAGCTGCTCTTGAAAAACGTGACGATACGCTTGCATTTGGAAACAATACATTTTATGTTGGCCAGCATCAGGGTATCTTGAATGATCAGATTGAGGGTATGTGCAAAACAAGGCATATGTCTTTTTTGGAGCAAACTACATGCTTTCACCATAGAAGCAGCGTTATCAGTTACTATAGCTGAAACTTTGTTAAATACATTCCATTTGGTCAGGACAGCTCGAAACGACTCGGCAATATTATCACTCGTTTGGTCAGTATCTCTAACCAGCTTCTCAGTCGACAAAACAGCACTTTTTAATTTAAAATTGCTTGCTATGAAATGGCATGTAACCGTTAAGTAATGGTCATTGGCCCGAGAAGTCCAGCCATCTGCTGTCACAGCACAGTGCTTCACATCGTCATGTATTTCTTTGAGCTTTGCTGCCATTTCATCATACATGTTTTTTAAGAGAACATTGCATAATGTTTTTCTACTTGGCAAGATGTATTTCGGGTCCAAGCAGTGGACGAAATAACGAAAGCCGAAGTCTTCAACGACTCGAAAGGGCTGCATATCAATACATATCATTCGAATTAGCGCTTTGTCAAGCTTAATTTTTCGAGAAGATATTTTATCATAAACACACGCTTGAGCATTGTAGTAAGCATCCAAAGTCTTAGCTGCCTTTGGTTTGTCCATCAATGTTGGGTGCGCACGTTTTAAGTGGTTGAATAAATTCGTCGTATTCCCACATGATTTGTATATTCCAGCGCATTGTTTACATTTTGCGTTTCCAGCCTGCCCCTGGCTCCAGCACCGGATAAGCACCTCCAGCACCTGCCAGAAGTTCAAAGCTCAACAACGCAAGCCGGTGGGCCAGATGCTCACTCGCAAAGCCGAAGAGCCATTCGCTACACTATGCGCTGACTTCGTTGGACCACTACCTCGATCAAAGAAAGGAAACACGATGCTGCTCGTCTTCTTTGACACTTTCACGAAATGGGTCGAATTGGTACCACTCAAAAAGGCCACCACCGCTACCCTGGAACTGGCTTTTCGAGAACGAATCCTGAGCCAATTCGGCATACCCAAACGATTTGTGTGCGACAACGGCACGCAATTCACAAGTCGATCGTTTCGGTCATTTCTACAGACAGCAGGAGTAGAACTGCAACATACCGCACCATACTGCCCTCAGGAAAATCCAACGGAAAGATTGCCCAATTCGTAGGGGATCGTCAAAATACCTGGGATGAGCTACTACCGGAAATATCCCTCGCAATAAATTCCAGCGTCTCGGAGACAACGGGATTCAGCCCAGCTTTCATACTATATGGAAGAGAGCCCCGCTTGCCTGGAGCCCTCTATGACGAAGTCACGGCAGGCACTGGAAGCCCCCCAGAGACTGCTCTCGGCAAGGCAACCAAACTCAGCGAAGTATTCACAATAGTCAGAAATAACATCCAGAGGGCAAGCCAGGAACAAGGAAGGCATTACAACCTCCGCCGCCGGCAATGGCGCCCCACTATTGGTCCCAAGTACTCCTACGACAGCACCACCTCTCCAACGCGGCCCACGGATTCGCCGCTAAGCTGGCACCGAAATACGATGGACCCTACCGAGTCAAAGGTTTTGCATCACCGAACATTGTAAAACTACAGCATCCGGGCAGCCGAAAAGCGAAGGTTGCTAACATCAACGACCTGAAGGAATTCCAAGAGGACAGGGATGCAACCGAAGAGGCCAATACTACCAATAGCACCGCAATCTCCCTAACCCCGACTTTGGGTTCCATACATTGGCAGCTGACCAGCCAAAGCCAACGAATCTAAAGGCGAGAACGCAGCACACGCGCAGCCAATGACCAAAAACCCGCGGGCTCAGAAGACGTAACCAACCGCCACTACAACGGAAGTAACGAACGCTCTCAAATGACGAGTTCAACACCCAAAGAAATGAAAACTCAGCACATGCGCCACCAAAATCCACCAAAATCCACAGCAAGAGACATGACAAAGAAAACGGAACCATGGTTCCCCATGGTTCGTCACAACACAGGAACACCTGTCTTTAAATATCTCTACATGTATAACCGTATAAATAAACACTAAGTAAAACCTCTTTAAATATCTCTACATGTATAACCGTATAAATAAACACTAAGTAAAACCTCAAATTTCCCTAAAGTTACATTCCTTTCCCACGGTACCGGTGCATATCGATCACCTTACCGGGGACATTGGACACCTGTTGGGAGGCGATTGCTTAGGTAACTCTCGATTACTGGGCAAAACCCCCCACATGCGCAAGCCAGTCAGCAATCTCCGACTTTCCTTACCGGGAATATTGGACACTGACTGCAGGGCTTATGATTAGGTAACCTTCTGTTACCGATCAGCCCGTCTGCACGCGCAGACTATAATTCGGACATAGATATTTATGTAAGAACCCTTCCCACGGTCTGGAGTAGAAATAAGATATCTATAAGACATTCATGGGTAAATCGAAGGCCGGCCGATCTATAAAAGGCACTGCCTTGCATGAAGAAAAAGGCAGTCCACCAGCCATCGTCGGAGGCAGTCCACCAGCCATCGTAGAGGGCAGTCAAACCACCATACGCGTCGTCAAACAATGAAACATAAATAAAACATAGAATAATAATACGAAAGAATAATGAAATCCAGTAAAATTAAAAGAACCAAAAAGTGTTGTGATTTCTATTTCAGTTTCTGGCAAAGTTCCTGGTTTTCCCGATAAAGTCCTCGTGAATTATAAATAACTTGTAATTCAGGACCCTGGACAGACTGATGCATACCTCAGCCTGAGATAGGACATTACAAAATACTTCATCGCACTAGGTGCGGGCTGCAGTTGGGAATTGGGTTTAGGATTGATTTTGCTAACTCGGCATCGCGAAAGGTGTTAGCTGAATTTGGGCCGGTAGGTCGATAATTTTATGCTGGCTTGACTTATTGTGAAATAACGCAAATGATATTTCTTATGTAGGCCGTCGATTGCGAAATGTCCCAAGAGGTGGGGTGTTTTAAATTTTTGTGTGAATAAGAATGTGTAGAGTTGTTGATCGAGAGTTCTTAATTAATTATGTGCGTTGCTTAAGATTATTTTATTTCCCGGAGGTGCTGACACACCGCTATTTGTGGAGAACCGTGGCTAGAGCCATGGTTCGTTAGCTCTGTATATATCAGTTTGATTATTGTCTCCGGCCAGCGTGGATGCGCTGACCCTCCGCAGTTGTGACGAGCCATGGCTAGAACTAAGGTTCGTTACAAGGGGGTAACGACATATGTATCTCCTGCTATACATTTTTCAGGAGGAGATACATATATACGTATCTCCTGCTATACATTTTTCAGGAGGAGATACATATGTCGCTAGGGCCTGCCAGGAGATATGTCGTTCGGGGATATGTCGCTATGCCATATTGAGTGCAAGCTATGCCCACTGTTCGCTGCTGCGCTATCCCGAACATTCTCGCTGACGAACAGACGAAGCAGTCTGGCAGCAGTGCTGTCTCCAGCTCGCTACGCTCGTCGCTGACGAACAGACGTTTAGTTTTTGGTATTATCTGATATGATAATATGAGAAATGTAGGACTGCATCAGGTTTTAGCACAATGAATGAATTCATACATATGTAAGACGAAGTGGTGGATGGTTGATGTGGGAGTGCACTAAAGGGTTAGAAGTGGCTGGCGCGTTTTGATTTCTAATTTAAATTTATGTTTATAATTTATGGCCCAGACCCATGAACAAGGAGCCCATCCCCTAGTTATAATTATAAATTTCTTTGAGGGTATTCATTCAGTCTTGAATTAGTTTACAGTTCTTTGAGATAGCTAGGGCTAAGGCAGCGAAGGGCTATGGCAGGTAATTACTCTTTCGAGTAATTGGATGCATGGAATTGGATTCCACAGCAGCAAAAGAGTAATGTGGGTAAATATTGACAGATTGGCAAGTTGCGTCGAACCATGGAATACGATGCGATAGGTATATTTTTTAAACAAGTCTAAAAGTTCGATGCCATTCCCACGGAGCACCGACCCATAACCGACATACTCTTGCTACTTCAGACTTCAAGTCTCTCTTTTAATTATAAAATTTATATTTATATTTATATCTAGTTATTAATACTTATTTTTAAAGGTTTGTATTAATACCAACTGCGGCTGATATTTTTATAGGTCTTGGGTGGGAGGCTGCTGTTGGCGCTCACGGAGTCTTCTTTCCACATTCACGGCCACCAGGCCTTGCTTCTTCGAGTTGTTGCTGTTTCTGGTTGCGTTTCGTGTTACTGTTGTAATCCTCCAAAAATCGGTTAAGAACTCTGTTTCTTCTTGTACGTATGATGCCGTGTTTTTGTTGTCCCTAGACTCACCATCAACTGTATTGGTGTAAACTTTTTAGTATAATTTAATTTGAAAAAATTCAAATGGCTTACCTTCTATCTGCATAGCGGTCGATACGCGTCCGTAATGTGACTTTGTCACATCATTTTTTAGTGTTGCTTACAAAGAATTGAGTCCGAAAGTGTAGTGTTCAAGAACCGTGTGCAGGACAGGACTACTTAGATTAATATTTATCCATTTCATCCAGGTCTCCCTCCTTGGTCTGGTTCTCAGGCTCGCCACCATCTTCGGTGTTGTCTTCTTGTGCCGCTATATTTGAAATTTTTAATTAAAACATTAAACAAAATGAAGGCAGTGGCTTACTTTCTTGCTGCAAGGCAGACGTCAAGAGTGAGAGGTTGTCGCGCAGCAGCTGCATGATAAGTGTCGAGTCTCTGTAGCTTTCTTCGTTCAGCTTATCCAGTTCTGCAATGGCATCATCGAAAGCGGGCTTTGCCAAGTCGATGGCCTTCTCGGTAAAGTGCATAATCTCGTAGTAGAAAACCGATAAGTTCAGTGCCAGACCCAAGCGAATGGGGTGTGTTGGAGCCAATTCCGTTGCCAATTCCCAGGCTCTATTGTAAGAGCACAGCGACTGCTCAGACGCCTGCTTGAAGTCCGCGCCGATGGTAAATTCGGCCAAATAGCGAAAGTAGTCACCCCGCATCTTGTAGTAGAATACTTTGCCCTCGTTGTCAGGGACATTAGAAAGTAGATGTGTGTTGATCAAATTTAGCACGGTCATACAGATGTCAGCCAGCTCTTCCTCCAAGTCTTCGCGGTATTTGCGGATCACCCCCAGATGCTCCACGCTAACGACGCCCGTCTCCTTCCTTTCGATCGAGTTAAGGACGCGACACGAATAACGCACCTTCCCAATACGATTCTTGTATGCAGCCGAGAACAAGTTGCGCTCCTCCACAGTTAGCACTTCGCCCATCAAAACGGTACTCTTCATGGCCTCAGCCATGTCTGTGTGTCGATCGGCCTGGTCAGCCAATTTTGCCTTGAAGAAATTGTTCTGGCGTTCAGACATTGTTGTAAAATATTTCACACAAAAATTCACACGAAAAATAATATGTCTGTAGTCTCCGTTTCGGCTTGTACTTATTGTTTATTCTATGTGTCTAGCTAGACTACCAATTCGTCGCCTCCTTTTTTCTCCGAGCCCGATTCAATGTACTTCCAAATATAAACAAAAATTGTTTGGCCTACTTGATTCATTCTAAAATTCTGTTGCGGTTGCCGCTTCTGGGGTTATTCGTTCTCGTTCAGTTTGAGATTTGTTGGTGGGGACTGCATTATCACCACCCTAGAAAATTTAGCTGTTTTCCAGGATATCAAATGACAGTTCTACTTTAAGACTTCTGTCCGAATTTGGTATGTTTATTATAAATTAGAGATCTTCCAACACTTTTGTAGAATTTGATACTTCACTCTCTATGATATATCTCACAGGAGCGGAGTTTACACCAAACACTAACACCAAAACGGTTAAAAAGAATACACGGATCGTTGGCACAATCATCTTGAACAAAAGCGTCTTTCTTGAATTTCCAGCGAGAACTGAACATCAGAAACTTTTCGCTTTATTATTACGCAACATACAACATATACCTCACACATGCACAGATTAAATTAGAACAGATAAGGGCCATGTGTTGTATATTTCGGATTTTATTTTCGTATAATAAATTAGGTAATTTCTAATCAAAACCGAAATATGTACGCACCCATATGATTGTGAAACCAAATTCCCTCCATCCCTTTCATTGCCAGCCGAATATAAACTGTAACGAACCATGGTTCTAGCCATGGCTCGTCACAAACGGCGAAGGGTCAGCGCATCCACGCTGGCGGGAGACAATAATCTAACTGATATACACAGAGCTAGCGAACCATGGCTCTAGCCACGGTTCTCCACAAATAGCGGTGTGTCAGCACCTCCGGGAAACTCTCGATCAACAACTCTACACATTCTTGTCCACACAACAATTTAAAACACCCCACCTCTTGGGACATTTCGCAATCGACGGCCTACATAAGAAATATCATTTGCGTTATTTCACAATAAGTCAAGCTAGCATAAAATTATCGACCTACCGACCCAAATTCAGATATCACCTTTCCCAACTGCAACTGCACCTTCCGGGGTGCAGCCTCAGCAAAACCACCCTGACCCACTAACAATTGTCAACGAAGCACCAAGCTTCCACAATTATTGTTATCCAATAACCTTAAGTCAGCAAGAATTAATTATTTCCGGGTCTCAGGTGCGATCGCCAGCTGCATAAAAGGGCCAAGATCGGCCGAAAGAGTAGGCAGTCCATCAGCCCGAACACAAGACACTGCACTAGGCAGTCCCTCAGTCACACCCCCAAGACACTGCACTCAGTCCCTCAGTCACACACCCAAGAACTGCACAAGGCAGTCCATCAGCCCAAACACAAGACACTGCACAAGGCAGTCCATCAGCCCAAACACAAGACACTGCACAAGGCAGTCCATCAGCCCAAACACAAGACACTGCACAAGGCAGTCCCTTTTTCACACACCCAAGACACTGCACTACGCAGTCCACCAGCGCACCATTCAACTACGAGTTGAAGTTGCAGAATTTAAGTGAATGAAGAAAAACAGAATGCTAAATAAAACCCAAGAACAATCCAACAAACAAAAACGGTCGCCTCATCATTTCTCGCTGTCTACTACATTATTTTACCAGCCAGCCCGACACCTGAAGTCACCTACAAACTACAAATTTTCTTGTAGCGGACCCTGGACAGACTGATGCTTACCTCAGCCTGAAATAGGACCCTCACAAAACAACAGCCCACTTTACCGCCTCTCCCAATGCATATTTAGAAAAAGTGTCTATTACTGTGAGCAAATATCTATATCCGTTATTAGTTGATGCGTACACCCCCATTTCTACTAAATCAGCCTGCCACAAATCATGTATACCCTTCATAACTACTCTTCGCCCTCGAAAATTCTTGTATAAGGGTGTGTAGCATATCTACCCTACCATTTTCATAAATCAAAGGGTATAGCAATCCGTTAATACATTGTGACACTTTGTCATAATGAATACAAATATACAAATGCCCAAAGTACATTAAAAGACCACTAAGAATTACATAAACATTCCAGCGCACAAGCAATACGATCCATCGCTTATATACAAGCCGATCGCGGAGCGTGAGAATGCTGAGCATGCACTTTGTAGCTCAAGTGGTCAACCCATACACGACATATGCTTGCCTTCTGCATACATATGTATATACATACATATAAACACATTGATATAAGCATTGCATATGCAAAAGGAGTGAAATATTTTTGAGGCTCCGCTGTACATTTTGTGCTTTTGCGCCTTTTTTTGAGCGGCAGGCCGTCATCGGTAAGTAATAAGCAAAATCCAATTTTAAATAACAATATTTAAAATATTTCTTTAACTATATTTTCAGCATCACTTGAAATGGGAGAGCCTGGACCAGGGGTCACACACCTGCGCCATGCTTTACACCTTCAAAAGAAGCGGGTGATTCCAAAAATAATAAAAATAAAGATACGAATAATTGTCAATAGTTATTAAGATTTAGATTTAAGCCAGGAAGGAATTTGTTGTTTTTTTTCGCCACTGAAGGTTTTTTTTGTTTCTTTCTTTCTTTAATTTAAATTTAAGTTTAATGCCACTGAATGTTTTGTTTTTTTTTAGAAGTTGTCTTATTATAAATATAAAATGAAAAGAAAATAATGCTGAATAATGAATAATATGAATAATAATGATGCAATGCCTGCCGACACATCAACCCCAATGACATGCAATGAGAAAATGGTATAGGATTTTACATGGAGTCGGGCTAGTCTTTGGGCCAGTGATGGACCGGCTGGGCTAGTCAGATAGCTAGGCAAGGGCTAGTCCGCAGAACTGCTGGGATGTTTCGGGTTAACATTAACATGTAAGACACAAAAAAATCAAAAAAATGTGCATTTAAAATACACTTCCAAATTTCACGTTTAAATTGCTTCTAATAAATTACTGGATTTTCACAAAAGTTCCAACCGAAGCTAATCATGTGTTCTTAATAAAAGAGAGAAAAAAGGGAAAGGAACGTGTATACCCGTACTCAGTCAGTATATACATTTTTAGGCTTATACTTTTTTAGAATTATAAAATTAAAAAAAAAAATTTTAAATTTAAATTTTTTTGCTACATCTGTTATCTACATCTACATTGTATATTATACATCTAACATGTAGATTCTACATGTACCATTTAGATTCTACATTTCCTCCGCTAGGGGTTGTAGAGAATGAGTAGCTTGGTTGTCGTCCGAAGGGGGCAAGGGAACCAACTGAAAATTAATTTCTTCATTCTGGCTATAATTATAATCCGATCTGATTCAGATTCGGCAATCTGGTAGATATGGGCATTCTCTACGATACTGCGTTTTTAGTTTTATCGCATCTTTAAAATTGTGCCTGCCACAGATTTTCGTCCTTTGTGTGTGCGGAAGGGGGCGGGGCGAAATTTTGAAATACACTTGTAGCAGTGGGATATCACATGAGTCTGGAAACCAAATGTGGTTGCCCTAGCTCTTATAGTCTCTGAGATCTAGGCGCTCATCGAGACAGACAGACAGATATGGCTCTATCGACTCGGCTATTGATGCTGATCAAGAATAAATATACTTTATGGGGTCGGAAACGTTTCCTTCTCTGCGTTACACACATCCACTTTTACCACAAATCTAATATACCCCTTAACTCGTTTTGAGTACGGGTATAAAAAGAAGCGTGCTGCTCAACCTAACTTATACACTGCAAATAACTGATGGAGCCCAAGTTCGAGACAGCTGTCCCTGTTAAGCAAAAGGATTGGTCGACGTTGCAAGAGGCCTTGCAGGCAAATCCAGCCGATGGACCACGCCCACTCACAATCCCAAGCACAAAAGGAGTGGACGAAGAGTGAAACTCTTGCAGCAACGGCGACTGGTCAAGGAAATGATCAAGTTGGCCAAAGAAGAATCAGACCGACAACGATACACAGATCGTCTTCAACACATAGATGAGCAGCTTCGCACTGGTGCGAAACAACGCAAACGGGCTGCATAATTGCGAATGCCCCAATTTGCCTTACCATTAAGTTCTACCTTCAAGCCTATGCGGGAAACCGCTGCTTAAAAAAAACTAAACTCTTATAGGCTTTTTACTAACAAATGTGGTTGGAGAATTAAAAAAAATATTTGAATTGTAAACCAAAATGTGAACCAACCACATTCAATAACAACTAATACATTTTCATGTCTCATTAGTCAAATGATAAATTTAAAAAAATATATATATATTTTCGTAAAAAATTATCACTTCAAATTTTATTTTTTTATTTTCAAAAAAAAAAACAATTTTCTGTCTTTACATAATCCCACAATCTAAAAACTCAACTTTTTCTTTCATGAACGTTAGAAAAACGTTAGTTGTTAGTTTTACAATTTCTGCTTACAATCTATGTTAAGCATAATAAAATTATCAAGAAAAGATAAATGAGTAGAGCAAATAACTTGGATAGGATCTAAAAATTAATAAGGAGAAAACAGATCACGATTACGAAAGAATACCCATATTTAGGTATAGCAACTACATGGTTAGTACGCTTACAAAAGTAAGAAAATTCAAGTAAAAGAATGGAATGAAAAGAAATTGCGAAACAAATAGACGCATTTCGTTATGCAGTTATAAACGCGAAAACACTTAAAAAACCATATAGAAATATTAGTAAGGGAATATAATATTAATATTATAATATTACCTTAGTAGGTTAGGTTAGGTTGACCCGGACGGCCCTCATGGGGCCACGCACAGGCCGATATGGCCCTTAGTTGTCCGGATGGGGGGTTGCATGAACCTTCTTCATTGTTGTGAGGTTTCAAAGTCCTTGAGGATCCAGGTGTTTTTCGCAAAGGCAAGAAGTTCCCCTGGTGTCCTTCTAGAGGCATCTTCCAGTGATGCCATCACCGGGGTACCCAGGTATTTTCTTCTTGCCCTTGATAGCGCCGGGCAGCTGCATATGAGGTGTTCCAGGGTTTCGATAGCCCCTTCTTCATCGCATTTTCTGCAGTTACCACTGTTGGTGAT